GTTAAAACTTCCCCAAGGCACAGATTCCTTTCTTGCCTTGGGATCGCTGCCACCACCAAGTGATTTAACAAACAATCAGGGAAAGGACTACTTGGAGTCCTATTTCCCCAAGCCTATACGCCCCCTTTCCTGGGGAGGCTTGAGAATAATATCCTGACCAATTGGTTACAAAATGATCAAAGACCCAAACCCATGGGTCTTGGAACAATGGAAAAATCAGTTAGGTTCTTAAAAAGAAGGGTTTTATTTAAAGAGAAAAAGGTAAAATAATCACTTCTGTAAATGTAGGCTGGTAATTAACCTTACAGAGTAGCAGAAAATTCAAAGAGCACAGAGTAACCCCATCTAACCTTAGTTTCAAAGTTACAACAAAACAGGGATAAACCTCCCTCTAGCAAAGGGAAAATTCAGAAGTTGAGAAAACAAAGATAAACTAATATGCCATGCCTGGCTGTTACTTACAAGTTTGAAATATGAGAGACTTGTTTAGAAAGATTTGGAGAACATGTATTGATGTCCGGTCCCTCTTAGTCCCAAGAGCGAATGAACACAGAAACAAAGAACCCAAAACAAAGCCTCTCCCCACCCAGATTTGAAAGTATCTTTTGTCCCCATTGGTTCCTTTGGTCAGGTGCCAACCAGGTTACTTGAGCTTCTTAACCCCTTACACGTAAGGAGGAATTTAGGCTACCCCTATGGTTATGACAGGTGTGGATGGAAGTTATTTGAACTTAGCACCATGGAGATCAAAATGTGGCTAGTGAATACTGTGTAGCTTATATCAGATGGAAGAATGGAGAAAAATGACTGTGTTACACCCTCTAGACATAAGAAGAGGAAAAGACCCTACATCCCCACACATCTGTGACACTGAATTCTGACTGGAAAATCTGAAAATAGATTAGAAGCTAGCCGTAACAGATCTCAGAACAGAATTAAACTCACTTCTGGGTAACATTTATTAGGAGAATCAAGACATGGAACCAGTAATAACAATCTTCATAGTAATAATAAATCATCTCCAAAAGAATGGAGGCATAGATGTATATGACATTATATTTGTGACACTACCATGCTATCAATGTGTCTAAAAATAAAAGTGTGAATACACCCTTGATTTTCCTGGATTTATTATTTCTTCTCCCCCGCCAGAAACAAACCAGTATTCCAGGCTGAAACCTGTATAACCTGATTGATAGTGGTCCTCCGCTGAGATCACATATCAAGATAAGGGGCTTCCCACAGATTTGACAGATCAAGCATGATTTGCTTCCCCCCCAATATCTGTTAGAGTCCCTAATTCTTTATTTTGCCATAAACGCAAATGGTCCAGTGATCATTGCCAACACCCCAGAGTAGCTCTGTTACAACAAACCACTGTACACGTGCAATAGAAGAAAACAAATCAGCAAGGAAACAGATTTCAGCTTTAGGCTGGCCTGGGGTGTTAGAGATAACAGTGTGGGGTGAAAATATTTTAACAGTTATTAAAAGTGTTTCATTCGTATCCTGAAAAGTGAAGCATATTGGCTTTCTTGGTGTAATGATATGTAATCCATGTTGATGGGATAATAGAGACAGAAGTCAAGATCCAGTAAGACACTGTCTGCAGGGGTTAGTGGCTGACTAAATCTAGAACAAGGAGAAATATTTTTATTTTCTCTTGAAATGAGGGTCAAGCGAGCCTGTAAGTCCTACACACTTTTCCTTTTGTCAGAAACGTCACTCACTAAAATCTATAGAAAATTTTGCAGGTCAAAAGAACAAATGCTCAGGTTCTATCTTTTCCCCCCTTAATATCTATAGATGAATGTCTGATAGATATTTTTCCATTATAAGCCCTATTTAAGGAATTTAGAATATGTCCACAAAAGTTAGCCTTTTGACTGTAATTTGGCATATGTCTCAACCCAAAAGAATGAGTTAAAAATGTTTCAAACCCAAGGCTATGTATCTTAACACAAAAAGAAAAGGAGTACCTGTGGCACCTTAGAGACTAACCAATTTATTTGAGCATGAGCTTTCGTGAGCTACAGCTCACTTCATCGGATGCATACCGTGGAAATATTCCACCTATGCATCCGATGAAGTGAGCTGTAGCTCATGAAAGCTCATGCTCAAATAAATTGGTTAGTCTCTAAGGTGCCACAAGTACTCCTTTTCTTTTTGCGAATACAGACTAACACGGCTGTTACTCTGAAACCTATCTTAACACAGTATCTGTACTAAAACAAAATTTAGCACACAATTAGAGCTGACCTGGAGAGCCTTACCCACACAAGTAGTTCATTCAGCTTCACTGGAAGGACACATTGAAATAAAGATGACTCACAGGACTGGGTCCTTAATTAATTAGATGAGTTAAATATTTTTGATCCTTTGAAGGAAATCGAGCCATATCAAACTTTACAGTTAGCACACTGAATGCATTCAGAAATGTTTTGCCACAATGCAGTAAGCCATCCATCCCTATGTACGAAGGGTAAAATCCACTCAAAGAAGCTCATATAGCTGGGTTTTATGGGGGGCACTAAATGAGAGGTGGGGGAAGAAATAGAATTCACCCCCCCAAAGCCTGGGCAAGCCAGGGAGCTGAAGGGCAGCCACTTTGCTGCCATTACTCCAGTGAGAAGGTGGAAATATTGGCAGCTTGCACATACTCCCTGCTGTGGGGTGTTAGGTGTCCCCAGATAGCCACAGTCCCTTCCACTTCTCACTTTCAAGCTTCCATCATGCCCTGGGTTCTTCAGAGCCACTGCAGGGCCTCATTTCTGCAAAACATAGGGTGGGTAGAGGTCCCCTGTGCAGTTGGTTTGCACACCACTCTCCTCTTGAACTTAAGTAATATGTGGTCCTTGTGTATGGTGCTCCAAACCAGGGGTAAATTTCACCTGCAGAATCATCCCAGCAATCTTTTCTCAAGCAAAACTGAGACTCAAGTATATCAATGGGGCTTTGCCTGGAAAAGGGCTTCAGAGTGAAGGCCTGTGTTAAGACTACTTGTGGCTGAACTTTTACATTGGTTGAAGCTTTCAAATCCATTAGATTTAGAGTATGCGCTCATTTACTGGTCCTTGCCATATTTTGTTTTATATTGGCTTTTCTTGAAACGTTTGTTAATGATTGAAAACAGATCTGTTTAAATTCAAAGAACTTTGCTCCTGCCTGGGGCCTGGATCTACTTGGTCTTCCAGTCAGTGTTTTATTTGACACTGACTATTTCCTTTGCAACACATGTGACATCACAAATACAGAATTATTAAGACAGATGGATTTTAAAATAATGGTCTTTCAGTACTGGGTGGAAAACATGAAATCCTCCAACAATTCACCAAATACTTTTATTTTTGTGTCAATGGTCCACTATGAAAGTCATCCTTTCAGTTATTCTATTGCCTCCCTTTCCCTCATTGTGTTTGTTTACTAGATGTTTTATCCCTGACTGAATACATGATTCCTAATGCTCCATATGGAGCTTCCTCCTTGATTTCAAAGCTAGCAGCTCTGTAAGCCTGATCCAAAGGACACTGAAGTCAGTGGAAAGAGTCCCTTTGACTGCAGTCGGCAATAGATCAGGCCCTATGTGCACAGCAGTGGTAGCAGTGGGCCACTCCTTCCTCTCCTTTTTTTGTGGTGTGAATTATATGCTTCATAAGGTCAACTCTGTTCACAGCGTGATAACGAAGTTCTCACTAATTCACTAGCAACAGCCCTGCTCAAATGAGAGGACAGGAGCTTCATGGGAACACTGTTCCAACCCTGAGGAGTGTGGAGAACTGGAAAGGACAAAATTAAAGTTTGAAGTATGCCAGACTGTTTCTACAAAGCAGCTTTCCATGTTTGAGCTGATGAGGCATAGTTTGTTCCTTCCTTTATTGCAGATGACATTTCCAGAGAAAGCCCTTTTAAACAAACTGATCTGCCTTTTTTTGTACATATCATTTCAAGCTGTCATGGAGGTTTCTTTTTCTTGAAAGCTCCTTAGCAGAGAGAGAGAGAGAAAGAGAGGAGCCAAGACAAAAAATAAATAAACAAATCCTTGTTGTAGAGGGCCAGGGAAACAGAGTTTAGAGACAAAGAGAGATTTGCTTATTCTCTTGAAATACTGGGTGGCAGTGACTCTCCCCATGAACCAGCTCCTTACTGTATATCATCCCAGCTGCTGTGCATGGTTTACCCACATGTCTCTCTGATGGTTGGGTCACATTCTGGTTCAGCTGGCATTTAGCATCTAACTTACAACTAGTGCAGGCCAGAGGCAACAGACTGTTTAATTAGAACAAAACATTATTATGGCTTGTGGTAGGCACTCCTGGCCTGTGATTTCTGCCCAGTGCTCTGATTGTCAAGATGAAGAAAGATATTCTTTCTTATGCATGTGCATGTCACCATCTGTGTAACATGGTTAAGCCTCTTTCAAGGATGACTTAGGAGAACAAGAAGCTTGATTCTTATTTCTCTCATGCTCGTGTAAATTGGAAATAATTTCACTGAAGTCATTGGAGTAATACTAATATAAAACTTGTGGGAGATCAGAATTGGGACCATTAGGCCAGTCACATAGTGGCAAATGGATAAGCAATTTATTAAGCCCTGGAAAATAATATCACGTTCCAAGCTACTTTCTTTTGCAATGTCTCTACACAAGTTAGTTAATTCTGCCCACGAAGATATTCCAGTGGCATTTTGCCTTTTCTTTTCCACCCACTGCACTGGTATATGGCTGTGCAAGTTGTAGGGCAATGGGGCATCAGGCCCAGAGGTGTAAACTAAGTGGGATGCTCTCAGGCTGCTCATGCAATACCATTGCTCATAAATAGCCTAACTCTCCTCCCACATAAACAGATGTCAATCAAGGGGTAACAAATTAAGTCAGGCCCTTTATCAAAGACCTTTTTTTTTTTCCCCCAAACAGAGGAAAAACAGATTTTAATAACCTTATAAAAATACAACATATAATTAATCTTGCAGTTTGTTGCTGCTTCAGTGTCACAAGTATCATTAGAAGCAGTCTTAAACGCTACACTTGTCTGTGTCCTGTTTCCAGCAACATGCTTTCTAGCAGTAGTTTACTGCTTTTTTCAATATAGGGCTGGTACAACCAAGATGATAAATAAACCATCATGAGATATTGGTCAGCAGGATGAGCAATCTCTTGCACAGTCATTTGCTTAAGTCGTAGTTCCTTCTTGTACATTTCAGTGAGCTTGAAATAAACCTCATAGAAGTACGTAGTGGGCCATGTGTGAAAGAGTGGTGTCCTGCAATCTCCGTTTTCATAATGGTATGTTTCTAAGTCACAAATTCCTTTAGTAGTTGAACATAGTTTTTCCATTTTCAGTTGTATTTTTGCCATGTTTTCCAAGGTCCCAAGCAATTCTGCACAGAACATCTCAAGTTCTTCATTATAGTCTGGAGACAGCTTTCCACAGTCAGAGGAATGTTGTCACATTCTATCTCCAGCTTGTTATCTTTAAATTGTGTGCCAATTCAAGTTTACAATTTTGTTTGCAGTAGTAAATCCATTATTATTCAGGGTCTCCCATTTCATCATTAAATTATGCCAGTCTGCTGCGTTATCTTTAATTTTTCTTGCACTGACAGATAAGACAGGTCTTTTTGGAGCAACAGCTGCAGGATTCTTTGTTGTAGGCTCTCATTTCTGCCCCAAGAACTCAAGGCTGAGGGACATGACCTGTGGTGGAGACAGTATCAAGTAGAGTGCTTGACAGGTGTAGTGCACTTACTAACCATAACAGCGTTCAGGATGTCAGAAACCTCTCTTGGCGCAAAAAAGCAAAAGCACTCTTTGTCTTTATTTATAGTCTGAAGACAATCTGTGAAACAGGACCTTACAAAAGCCTGACATTTTGGTTTAAACAGGAGGGTTTGGAAAAGTTGGCACAGGGATTATGGCTTGGGTCAGCAAATCATTCACAGAAATGTGTCTTTTAGAAAATCATCAGGGACATATGTTTTACACCACTGCTCAGCTGATAAAATAGTAATTCTGCTCAGTGAGTCAAGCACCTCAGGACCAAACACTTGGTGTATGTACTAAATTAAGAACTTGTCTACACACAAATGTGCTCCAGTTTAGTTGAACTGATTTAGTTAAACAATTGTAAAAACCCTATGTGAACATCCTTATTTCAGACTGAGTGATTTATTTTGCTGTAGTTTAAATCTGTTCCTAATCAACCTAAGCTAAATGCAAATAAGAATAGTTCAAGCCAAAATAAGAGTGTCCACACATCCTTTTACATAGTTAAACTGAAGTGGTTTAAAACCACACTTTGAGTTTTACTGGTGCAACTCACAAATGAAATGAAGCTGCTATCTGTGGGATTATGAATCAGAATCCTAACTCTTGTCTGTATTCAAAGATGACTTAAATTGAAACCAGTTTTAAAAATGGTTTAGTTAAACAAGTGCAAACCCCTCTGTGGCCACTCTTAGTTCAATTCAAACCTGGTTTATATCAATTTAGCTAAACACAAGTCCTTATTGAATTAAGCTAAATCAATATAAACCAGGTTTCATTTATCTTAATTTGATAAGGACTTGAGTTTAGCTAAATTGATATAAACCAGATTTAAACTGAAGTAAGAGTGGCCACAGAAGATGGTTTAAAATCTGGGGGCAGATCCTGAGCTGGTATAGATGGTCATAGTTCCATTTACTTCAGTGACTATTTATACCAGCTGATGACCTGCTGCCACATCCAACCATGCCCTTTGAATATAGACAAGACCATTCATCATAATCCCTAATCCCTCAACATAGTGGGCCAGATTTTCCACTGCTCTATTTTTGCACTTAATGCAGGGATGAGGGAAAAGATGCCTTTAAAGTGCTGTCCATATTCTCAGGCATATTTATATATGCTAAGGAAACTTGCGCATGCATGATCTAAACCTTCACAAATGGTGGGACTGCTTCTTGTTCCCATATTTTCATATCTAATTTGTGAGTTGCCTACAGGTGTATTCATTTGGATGATGTGAGAGAGACAGGGCATGCACTTAAAAGGACACTGGTGGGTGCAGCGTATATTCAGTATCCTGCATTCTAGCAAAAATAATTGGTCCTGAAAGGCTTGGTCCCTAGAATGCACAGGGTTAATCATTAAAGTTGCTACTGTTGCAGGAACTGACTGTTCTCTCTCTCCCCACTTAATGTTTCAGGCTTGTCTTTAAGTCAGCACTACTTAAAGAGATACGGGGCTGCTGTGAGGGTATAACCCTGCTTTGAAAAATGTTGATTGAGAAACTAAGGCCTGGTCTACTGCTCTGTTAGAAGTACAATATTTCTTCTGGAATATTTCCTTCCACTTTTCTTCAACACAATCCTCTTCCTTTTGATTTCTCCTCCTGAATATTTTCCCCATCTAATAATATTTGCCTGTTCCTGGATCCTAGGAGGTGAAGTGTCAATATGTTAGTCTCTTTCCCTCAACTGAGGCCCTGTTGTCTAATGGTTAGAACTGGGAATCAGGACAAAGCTGTGCTAATGACTTTCCTACAGCACTGAACCCTCTCCCCTCAAATCAGGGTCTTTGTCTATTATTATTATTTAATTACTTGTACCGTAGAACCTCAGTTACGAGCACCTTGGGAATGGAGGTTGTTCGCTACACTGAAATGTTCGTAACTCTGAACAAAACATTATGGTTGTTCTTTCAAGAGTTTACAACTGAGCATTGACTTTGCTTTGAAACTTTACTACACAGAAGAAAAACACCGCTTTTAACCATCTTAATTAAAACAAAAAAGCACAGAAACAGTTTCTTTACCTTGTCAAATCTCTTTTTAAACTTCCCCTTTATTTTTTTAGTAGTTTATGTTTAACACAGGATTGCACTGCATTTGTTTTTTGTTTGTCTCTGCTGCTGCCTGATTCATACCTACGGTTCCAAATGAGGTGTGCGGTTGACTGGTCAGTTTATAACTCTGGTGTTTGCAACTCTGAGGTTCTACAGTATTACAGTAGGCTAAGTGGAGAGAGTAGTTGGGGGAACACCTGAAACATAAGGGGCTTCTTGTGCAGAGCTGGAATGATACCATCCCTTCAAACAGAATCTGCTGGATTTCCCTACCCATACTCTTGATTCTGTGCCATAGTCGCAACTCTTCTACCATGACTAACTGGTGCATAACATCTCTTTGTCTTGATTTCCCCATCTGTAAAAAGAGGATAATACATAATTCTCAGGGATGTTTCGAGCCATAATGATGAATATTACATAGCACTTTGAAGGTATAATGCACTGTAGCACTGCAGTTGCTCAGTATTATTTCTAGAAATGTTGTGAGAAGGTGAAATAATGTTCAAAGAGCTGCTATTTCTTTCAGGAGACAAGAGCATTATTTATTGTAGTACGAGTGGCAAAGTGGCTGCTTTCCAGGCTCATTTACTTTTCAAGTAAGCATATGTGTATATATAAAAAAATGTCTGTACGGAAACAATAGGGCATTGTGTTTCAGAGATGTGCAAGTTATAGGCAACTTTTAAAAGTTTGGAGGATGAAAACACATACAGGTTTCTTGAGCCATGAGTACGTGCTTTGACTTTACAAGTGGGCATTTTTATAGAAGCAGGAGTCAAGGTTAAATATAGTTCCTGATTCTCTGTTGCCCTGTATCTTTTGTGATTTCTTTTACTGAAGCGCAAATGGGATATAAAGTGCTATCATTCTGATCTGTTAATGTTTTACACTGACTTTGTATTCACTTTCCACTGGTGTAAATGATTACACAAAGTGAAGAACAATGGAGAATTGGCTCCATTGTTTATTTTCAGGGCCTGTCAAGGTTCCTCCCCCACTCTGAGCTCTAGGGTACAGATGTGGGGACCTGCATGAAAAACCTCCTAAGCTTATCTTTACCAGCTTAGGTCAAAACTTCCCCAAGGTACAAAATATTCCACCCGTCGTCCTTGGATTGGCCGCTACCACCACCAAACTAATACTGGTTACTGGGGAAGAGCTGTTTGGACGCGTCTTTCCCCCCAAAATACTTCCCAAAACCCTGCACCCCACTTCCTGGACAAGGTTTGGTAAAAAGCCTCACCAATTTGCCTAGGTGACTACAGACCCAGACCCTTGGATCTTAAGAACAATGAACAATCCTCCCAACACTTGCACGCCCCCTTTCCTGGGAAATGTTGGATAAAAAGCCTCACCAATTTGCATAGGTGACCATAGACCCAAACCCTTGGATCTGAGAACAATGAAAAAGCATTCAGTTTCTTACAAGAAGACTTTTAATAAAAATAGAAGTAAATAGAAATAAAGAAATCCCCCCTGTAAAATCAGGATGGTAGATATCTTACAGGGTAATTAGATTCAAAAACATAGAGAACCCCTCTAGGCAAAACCTTAAGTTACAAAACAGATACACAGACAGAAATAGTTATTCTATTCAGCACAATTCTTTTCTCAGCCATTTAAAGAAATCATAATCTAACACATACCTAACTAGATTACTTACTAAAAGTTCTAAGACTCCATTCCTGGTCTATCCCCGGCAGAAACCAGCATATAGACAGACACGCAGACCCTTTGTTTTTCTCCCTCCTCCCAGCTTTTGAAAGTATCTTGTCTCCTCATTGGTCATTTTGGTCAGGTGCCAGCGAGGTTACCTTTAGCTTCTTAACCCTTTACAGGTGAGAGGAGCTTTCCCCTGGCCAGGAGGGATTTCAAAGGGGTTTACCCTTCCCTTTATATTTATGACAGGGCCAAATTCCTGATCCTGGTGCTAAACTGATGCATGCCTACGCAACACTACTGGCAAACTGAGGAAGAAAGTCCACTGTTGTGTCTTGTATTCTTTATACAACAAAAACAACATGCTGCAACTATGAGTGTAGATGGGTCCCAAATAACTATTTACTTAATATGCGCAAACGTGCTAGGCCAAGCTACATACATGCTGATGCTCTGATTGCTCTCTAAAACACAGAACACAGTGAGTGCCAACAGAAGGCCCACTAACTTTTTAAAGGGATAGTACTCTTTTCTTTTACACTTTGCAACCAGTCAGCCATATCAGTCATTGACTCCAACTTCCACTGCCATATATAGCTGTGGAACTGCTGCAAAGTGATGGGCAGAACTGCCAGCTCAATGGATTTCTTTTGTAGACAGGGTTGTCTCTCTTTCTCTCCAGCCATGTCTACAATACAGGAACAAACAAAAAACAAACAAAAGGACGTATTTTTTCACACAATGCACAGTCAACCTGTGGAAGTCCTTGCCAGAGGATGTTGTGAAGGCCAAGACTATGACAGAGTTCAAAAAAGAACTAGATAAATTCATGGTGGCTAGGTCCATCAGTGACTATTAGCCAGGATGGACAGAGATGGTGTCCCTAGCCTCTGTTTGCCAGAAGCTGGGAATGGGCGACAGAAGATGGATCACTTGATGATTCCCTGTTCTGTTCATTCCCTCTGGGGCACCTGACATTGGCCACTATCGGAAGATAGAATACTGGGCTAGATGGACCTTTGGTCTGACCCAGTATGGCCATTATTATGTTTCTTAACTATAACGGCATAGCTGTGCCAGCATAACTGCAAGGTTAGATGCAACTACGTGACAGAATAAATTTTTTTGTCATTGTAGGAAGACCACTGAATGATGATAGCTAACTTGA